CCGTAACTAACTAAAAATCGAAAATTTACGTTTTAATTGATTATGATGCATTTGATCGCATTATGTGGCCCCAAATCGTTTTATGCAATAAAAGATTTTAGTTAGTTACGGCTTTGTGCATTTCAGCGACGATGTGAGATAGGGCCTTTCTATATTAAGGCAACGATATGTAACCTTTCGCCACCCTGCCCAGTCCCTGCACGGTGGTCCCAAAGCATTCAGCTCGTTAGCGGCTTGCTTCCAAAAATCTTCCACATCACTTCGACCTTTTTTGATGAATCCTTTAGCAATGTTCTTCCTCTTGCTGAGTAGCTCTACCAACAATTCGTATTGGCTTGGATTGGTGTTCCTCGCCCTATTATGCATAAATTTCATATAAATACAAACGCATAAAGTATTTGTACAATTTTGCACTTACATTTTAATTCACAGTACTTAAATGTGAAAAATTTAAACAGATTCCGACGTTGATCTTCTTTCGGGAAAAAATACCTACGAATAACTGTTACGAAGTGATGCGGAATACATGCTAACTTGAATTTTCGTAATGTTCGAAAATTCGAAGAACAGTTCGGAGACTATAATGCCAAGGTTGCCACTATTCTTTTTTCGTAACTACGACGGAAATTCAACGTGGTGCAGAATTAGGCCCTATATTTGATACTTGGTCGGGTATCTAATGTTCGGCTCCGCCCGAACTTATACTTTTTTACTTGTTTTTCAAATCAAATTATTAAATGTTGATATTTTTGTTTTCTTGTCAAGGTTTGGCAAAGTTTGGTTCCTTGAAATATATGTAACTACAAGTCGTAAAATTGTAATTTTGGTTTTTATTTGCAGACATGTTCAATCTCTAGTTATAAAGAATGTGTATTGTCACGTTGTTGGCAAAGATCTATTGAAAAACTCGATCCATTACTTGTTTTTTCCCACATTTTCCTTCATCTGTAAATATAACTTAAAAATATAAGAAAGCAAATGCCAAAAAGTGTACTCGAGAGTCAACAGTTTTTATCGAAGGTGGGTATCCAGATTTAAATATGTTCTAGAAAAGCGAATGGCGTTCTAGTCTCTTTCTCCAAAAGTTTTTTTGTGGACTTACATAAACTGATGCTTAAAAATTTCTCGAAAGTGATCTTAAGATACATACATAAGTGTGATTAGTAATTTTTATTCAATAAGGCCCTAATTATGATTAATTTTCATTTTTTATTTTATTACTGAGTAGAGAGATAGAGAAATTAATTTTGACCGATTTTACTAAGCAATTACTCCTCTGCGTATGAGTCCGTTTTTAGTCTAGTATAATATAAACGGTAAAGGAAAGGATAAAGAAGATAAGTTTCTGCCAAAATAGTTATGTCAACAAATTTTGTCGTCAAAATATGACATAGTGAAAATCAGCCTTAAGAGATACAGAAGTAAATCGCCCAGGAAAGGTTGTATATGTTACCAGTTAAACCCGATCTATCTAGATCCGATATATAGTTCTACCTATGTAGATCCGATATATCCGTCTAGCGCGGATACAAGTTGGATGCAACGATAATGTGGACTGAGTAGTTGGAGTTGGAGTGCGGCCGAAGGCGGCCTACACTGAAAGGTGTTCTGCGCA